AAAATTTAAAGATTTATAATTTAGGAAGTTAAGAAAATCGATAAACAGAGCTTCTCTAAAATTGTCAGCGTTCCAACTTTGAAACGTGGTCAATGAAATTTTATCATTTTGTAAACTTTTGATACGGATAAACAAATAATTTGATCCGGGGCGTGAGAAGCAAGTAAAAGTTGGGAGGCTCAAGATCTTAGGGGCAGTCTTTATTTAAGAAGGGAGTATCAGAGTAATTAATCTCGATGTCTCTAATTTAGAATAATTTTGTCACATCTCAGTAATCAGAGATACTACAAAACTGATAGCGTTTGGACTTGACACTTCATCATGCAAAGTTTTGTCATTTTGTGAACTTTGGACGCAAACAAATATTTTTAATAGTCTATATTACAACAAGTTGAACAAATATAGACCAGAAAAAATCACGTGTACTATCACGTGAAAAAGTTATCTTTTCACTTCAATTTGGCGCAATTTCTAAAGACATACCTAGTAAAACGTTTTTATGTCATCATCTGTGTTAGCAATAAGATAAATAGATAGATGACTATATGAATGAGGAAAAAATTCTTCTTGATAAAAGCCATGTTAGATAAAATTAAAATCATTCCGCATTTATGATATGCATAACTGAAATTCTGTGACGTGTCATAATTTTGATTCATTTTGTTGATTTTTTAGCCCTGCCGTACCAATGATATTTGAAAAGACGAGCGAAATTAATTGTTATTGATAATGCAAGAAAGGTCAGTATTTTGAAATGATAAATTATCCAATGTGTTATTGAGAAAATCCCACAAAAATCAACAGATGTATCAATATAAAACATATGAAGCGCGAATTCCACCACGAAAATGACATTCAGGTTTTTTATGACAAATATAACAAAATTCTAGACATAAGAACAAACAATTACACTCTGAAAGGTGAACTTTATAATCAACATACCTTAACAAATTTAGAAAGATTAAAGAAAACGCAACCAGCTACGTGATGCCCTTGCTTCTGCTTGATAAAAAAGAAATTGGAATGTTCACTAAATGTTCAATTTTAATCACCTGCTGTTTTCATTGTAAAATATTGAATTCTGTTCATACCCCATAAAATATGAAATGCAAATTTTTTATTTTAGCTATGACTGAAGTAAACACAAAGAAGTTTTGACTTGGAAGCTTTATGCCAATAAAGCTCTCACAATAAAGTAAATGGTTTGAACCCGGGAGTATCGTCCCATGTTTGTAAATGTTGATCGCTTAGGTTGGTATAGTACTGAGAAGGACTGCTTTTTTTGTTGTTGACTGACGTTTCGACAACCTTAGCGGTAGTCATCTTCAGAGTCATTTTGACTTTAACAGTTTACTATTATCTATTTCTATTATTGAACATCCGGACTTACATGCAAACTAACTGAAATAATCATAAATGAAGACGGGCAGCCAGCCTTTTACAAGTAAGATAGCTCAAAAATTAGAGATTTATAATTTAGGAAGTTAAAAAAATCGATAAACAGAGCTTCTCTGAAATTCTCATCGTTCCAACTTTGAAACGTGGTCAATGAAACTTTGTCATTTTGTAGACTTTTGATCCAGATAAACAAATAATTTCATCTGGGGCGAGGGAAGCAAGTAAAATTTTGGGGCTCAAGATTTTAGGGCAGTCTTTATTTAAAAATTGAATTTCAGAATAATTAATCTCGAAGTCTCTAGTTTTGATTAATTTTGTCACATCTCAGTAATCAGAGATACTTCAAAATTTATAGCGTTTGGACTTTACAGTTCATCAAGCAAAGTTTTGTCATTTTGTGAACTTTGGACACAAACAAATATTTTAAATAGTCTATCTTACAACAAGTTGAACAAATATAGACCAGAAAAAAATCACGTGTACTATCACGTGAAGAAGTGATCTTTTCACTTCAATTTGGCGCAATTTCTAAAGATATACCTAGCAAAATGTTTTTATGTCATCATCTGCGTTAGCAATAAGATAAATAGATAGATGACTCTATGAATGAGGAAAAAATTCTTCTTGATAAAAGCCATGTTAGATAAAATTAAAATCATTCCGCATTTATGATATGAATAACTGAAATTCTGTGACGTGTCATGATTTTGATTCATTTTGTTGATTTTTTAGCCCTGCCGTACCAATGATATTTGAAAAGACTAGTGAAATTAATTGTTGGTGATAATGCAAGAAAGGTCAGTATTTTGAAATGATAAATTATCCAATGTGTTATTAGGAAAATTCCACCAAAATCAACAGATGTATCAATACAAAACATATGAACCGCGAATTCCACCACGAAAATGACATTCAGTTTTTTTTGACAAGTATAACAAAATTCTAGACATAAGAACAACTACACTCTGAAAGGTGAACTTTATAATCAACATACCTTAACAAATTTAGAAAGATTAAAGAAGACGCAACCAGCTACTTGATGCCATTTCTTCTGCTTGATAATAAAGAAATTGGAATGTTCAATAAATGTTCAATTTTAATCACCTGCTGTTTTTATTGTAAAATATTGAATTCTGGTCATACCCAATAAAATATGAAATGGAAATTTTTTATTTTAGCTATGACTGAAGTAAACACAAAGAAGTTTTGACTTGGAAGCTTTATGCAAATAAACCTTTCACAGTTTACTATTATTTATTTCAATTCTTGAACATCCGGACTTACATGCAAACTAACTGAAATAATCATAAAGGAAGACGGGCAGCCAGCCTTTTAAAAGTAAGATAGCTCAACAATTAAAGATTTATAATTTAGGAAGTTAAGAAAATCGATAAACGTTGCTTCGCTAAAATTCTCAGCGTTCCAATTTTGAAACGTGGTCAATGGAGTTTTGTCATTTTGTAAACTTTTGATACGAATGAACAAATAATTTGATCCCGGGCGTGAGAAGCAAGTAAAAGTTGGGGGCTGAAGATTTTAGGGGCAATCCCCATTTAAGAAGAGAATATCAGAGTAATTAATCTCGAAGTCTCTAATGTAGAATAATTTTGTCACATCTCAGTAATCATAGATACTACAAAACTGATAGCGTTTGGACTTGACACTTCATCATGCAAAGTTTTTCATTTTGTGAACTTTGGACGTAAACAAATATTTTGAATAGTCTATCTTACAACAAGTTGAACAATTATAGACCAGAAAAAAATCACGTGTATTATCACGTGAAGAAGTGAGCTTTTCACTCCAAGTAGGCGCAATTTCTAAGGACATACCTAGCAAAACGTTTTTATGTCATCATCTGTGGTACAAATAAGATAAATAGATAGATGACTGTATAAAAGAGGAAAAAATTCTTCTAGATAAAAGCCATGTTAGATAAATTTAAAATCATTCCGCATTTATGATATGCATAACTGAAATTCTGTGACGTGTCATGATTTTGATTTATTTTGTTGATTTTTTAGCCCTGCCGTACTAATGATATTTGAAAAGACAAGCGAAATTAATTGTTGGTGATAATGCAAGAAAGGTCAGTATTTTGAAATGATAAATTTTCCAATGTGTTATTGGGAAAATCCCACCAAAATCAACAGATGTATTAATATTAAACATATGAAGCGCGAATTCCACCACGAAAATGACATTCAGGTTTTTTATGACAAATATGACAAAATTCTAGACATAAGAACAAACAATGACACTATGATAGGTGAACTTTATAATCAACATACCTTAACAAATTTAGAAAGTTTAAAGAAAACGCAACCAGCTACTTGATGCCCTTGCTTCTGCTTGATAATAAAGAAATTGGAATGTTCATTAAATGTTCAATTTTTATCACCTGCTGTTTTTATTGTAAAATATTGAATTCTGTTCATAACAGCGAGACGATAAAATGAGATGAGCAAATTTTATATTTTAGCTATAACTAAAATATATACGACAGGGATTGATTTAGAAATTTTAGTGCAAATTCAATTTCAGTTCAACTCAATCAACTCATAAATGTTGTACACATTTAACTATTATTAATTTTCAGTATTGACAAGGCTGTACGGGACTAAAAACATCAGGATGCGGACACTATTTTGCTCGACGAAAGCGGAAATCCTTTACATGCAGTGTCGTAGTTAGACATGAAGAGAGACATGAACTTCTGGGGAGCATATTTTCTAACGCCAAACGCGTGAGCCTTTCTAGCGAGGTCTATAAAGTCATGCTCACCCTTGAAGATTTCTAAATCCCATCTAATCCCAAAAGGTGATTACGATGACTTGGTATAAGGGTTTGATTATAAAATCTTTGATTGGCTAATCTATAATCTAAAACAAATATGGCGGATTCAACTCTCGTCTTTCGTCTTTCAAAATTTTAATTGACGATATATTTTCTTACTTGGAACAACAGAATGTTTTCTGTTAGGATTGTAGATGCAGATTTTTACGTGGGAAAACCTATAGATGGCTTAGATATTTTGTTTTCTAAATTTCATGAGGCGAATGTTAACCGTGTTCCAGTTTTAAGGATATTTGGCTCAACTCCTGGTGGACAGAAAACTTGTGTTCATATTCATCAAGTATTTCCTTACTTATACATACCTTACGATGGAACTAAACCCACAGATAAATATCTGAAACAATTTACGACAAGTGTAGACTTTGCTGTTCAAGTTGCGTTTGGTAGAACATCATCTTCTATGAAATATGTTCATAAAACTGAAATTGTTAAAAAAATGTAAGTTATTTTCCTTGTTTTTTCCTCATGTGGACAAAGCTTACTATTATTAAATTATTTTTACTCTCTTCTTTACATCACAATACAAAATCTTCTATTTTCGACCCAAATATTGAAATATCTTTTATTTTAGTTTCTAATTGATTACAATCTTTATGGTATGAACTTACTTCATGTAAGAAAAGTTCATTTTAGAGGAATTTCTTCAAAAACAGGAAAGTTTCATTATTGATTTTTTCAGCATTCTATAAAAATCTAACACCACAAATGATTATTTACCATCAAATTGAATTTTATAGATAAAAATCTTTCATATAATAATAAATCAATTTCACTTCATGGTTCATCTCCAAATTCATTTCTCAATTTTCCTTCATCTCAACACTGGAATGAAGACACTATTCCTAGGTTTGTCTGATTCATATATTTTATACTTGAAGATTAATTGAAACCAAAAGGATTTGTGTAAATCCTTAATCCTAAATTTGACACATGTGCGTATGATTTATCCCAGATTTAGAGTCAATGCTCAATCCAGATTACAGAATTTACATTTAAAAAATTAGTTTAACTTTGGAATGATTCTTTGTGATAACTATCTTTACAGTTGATATTCATCATTTTAATGTTTGTTATTTGTCATTATTTAGAAATTTATGCCTGGATCCTACTGTGAAAAAGTCAGTCGTTGTGAACTTGAAGTTGATGTAATTGCTGAAGACATCTTGAATGAAATAAATGTTGAAAGTAAAATTTACTTATCTTTATGTCTTCATTTTACTGTTTATACATCTTTAATGAGTTTATTATGTTTATGAAGGTTGTATTGGTCATAATCCTGGTATAACTGCTATGTGGGAAGATGAAAGACAACGAAGACGAGATATTGGACTATCTTCACAAGTTGCTCTTCCTGTTTCACAAGGTAAGGTACAAAAAAATACATGTCACATCATTGTATATCTCACAGTAATGATTTATGAGGCTCTGACTTATATATCCCACAATGCAGCTGTTTTCTAGTGTATAAAATTTCATGTTTTCTTAAGTTTAAACATTGTCATCGTTACATGAAGATGTGTACAACTGCTCCTTTATTAATTTTCTTTTACTTAACAGTTAACAATACGTAGGTAAAAATTCAACTTTTTTGTCGTTAGATCTTATTCAGTGTGCGAATTTCTTGAGAAAAAACGATGTGCAATTTTTTTGACAAAAGTGTTTCTTTAGAGGCATAATCAAATCGATATTACGTTAATTATTACATAGCGCTAATTGCTTAATTAATATTTTTAAACGTGAACAAATTCATATGATTTACGACAGTGTTTTTCGTTACAACCGCTGATCCAGTCACAAATGTATGAGAGAAATTTTTTGCGCATGTTATTCTCTCCTCTTTTTTTGAGCAAACTCTACAGCGCAATAAATTCACCTCTTGGCCATCATCCTAGTACTCAAAGGAGTCAGTCTTTGATGTTTCCATCCATTTTTTTTTACTGTACAATTGTTTTCATTTTAGCTAAAACGATGTGCAAATCGCACATTTCACACCGTTAATTCGCACACTGCCATGATTAGACATGGATATCAATGATGATTGTGTACAGCTCCATTTGTGTTTAGTAAAATGTGTCTTATATGAAGTTTTTTAATCAATCTTTTTTATTTTATTGTTTATTGAGAAGGTAGTGATGATGAACATGATGAAGATATTGATGAAGATAAAGAATCAATATTAATGTCACAGCCATTTTGGAAAGATGATGAAGAGGAACATGATTCCCAAAGGTAAAAGTATCCATTTTTGTTTATAAAATAAAGACAGAAAAATGCGTGCGTTGATTTGTCTATAGTTGAGTTAACATTAGCAAACTTGGCATGAGCAAACCTATCTGATCTCAATCAATTAAAATCAATCAAAGAGAATTTCCAAATCAATCATGAATACATGTTACAAGAAAAATTAAAACATTTGTTTTTAATTTGTCTGTTTTGTATTATCCTTGTTTTATAAAAGAAGTAAAAGATGTTTTTCGTGTTTACACAGGCTTATGCAAACTTTGGTGACGTTTGTGAGAACTTTGGAGCAGGTGCAAGCCTTTGACTCTGGTCATCATTGATCGTGTTCTCCCAAAAGTCTCCTTGCTTTTCATAATCCTGTGCAAACACTGTAAACATCTTAAATGAAAAAGAATCAATCTTCTCTAAAGTTTTGAGTAGCTGTCTTCTTCACTTGCAGTTCGGAGAATGAAGAGGAAATGGACTGGAAACCACCTTTACGTATGTCTCAAGTGGATGGTCTTGGTGATGACGAGGACTCCAGGTGACATGTGTAGTCAATCAATTTTCACTCCGCGAGAGAATCTCGAAACACTAAACACGCGTGTCTGCGTGTAATCTCGCGTGTCTCGATGTAAGATTTGGCTTTAATTATTTGCTTCAGGTAGCGTTCCATGTTCAATGGTAACAACATACATCATCTTAATGCAATTTTATTTGTTTAATTCCCGCAGGCAGAAAGTTCTCTCATCCTAAATGTACAGCAGCCGTTCGACAAACATCATTTAGTAAAGATGGAAGGTAAATTTTACATGTTACGTTTCATCTCACGGGAACAATTTCTTTGTTTACCCATGTAAAATTATTGTTTTTTGAACATTTTTCAAAGTCAAGGAAAGCATGTGAAAAGAACATAGATAACATTTTCATAATGATAAAATAACATGTTTTCTCATTAAAACTTTCACTTTGCGAAGATATTTTACTATTTGTTTTCCTGTGGCACATTTTTCATTTATCTACCAAGAGCCCATTTCCAACGCGAAATTGAAAGTGACCGTTTTCGTTCATTGGTCATTGAGAAAAGTTTTTGCGAGATTTTAGAGTTGATTTCACAGTATTTACACCTTGTAAATTGTCAAGTTTCTTAGAGCAAAGTCCACTATGACTGGATGGTAAATAATTTGCACAGCGAATATTTAACTTTCAACAACCTTAGCGGTAGTCATTTGACTTTGAATTTTCTGTTGAAGTAAAACACACGAATTTAAACATGTTAACGTTTCTTTAATTGACGTCATAACTAAAATTATTATTGTGATTGGCTCCTTAGGAGCATGTCACCTTCACAAAAGTAATCCTTCAATGCGTTTTAAATTTTAAACAAAAGATAATGAGATAAAATTCCTTATTATCTTTTGTTTTAAATACATTCGGCACATGTAAAATGCGATGTTTGAAACAGGCCTTAAAAACGCATTGAAGGATTACTTGTTGTCTTTAATGAAATGAGCCAATCTAATAATTTTAGTTATGACGTCAATTAAAGAAACGTTAACATGTAAATTCGTGTGTTTCTCAACAGAAAATTACTCACTTTAACGTTGTAGGAAGAAAGGTAAATTCTGTCTTTTTACTGACGAATACTGAAGTATGAGTTACATGGAATAATGAACAGGTCTCAGTGTAGGCCTCGTAATCTGAAAGCTTTCACTGTAAAATGCTTTCATCACGATTATTAGCCTTTGATCGTGTGAAACTTGTTACATCGTTCAAACTCAACTCACTAAAGCTATTCGTGCAATGAAGGTGAATGTTCTACCGTTTAAATAGTCAAACAGAAAACATATAACACTTTGCTCATTCTCAATAAATCTGATTAAGAATTTAAAACGCAAACTAACGTCATATGCAGAGTTATTCATCATGAAATTTCATACATGTGTTTCATATTTTCTTATATTGTAGATCCCACAAGAATGGAGTTGTGAAAGTCCCTTTACCACCTGTGTCATTCACTTCAATTACTCTTACTAGTTTGTCATTACTCATGTGTCATGGTGATTTATGGCCAAGAATGTTCATTTGTAGTTTGGATTCTTTGTTGATGTCAGTTGTTTGTTCATATAATGATGATGGGCCCCATTGTTATATGAACCCACCTTAAAGGTGGTCAACTGATACTCACAGAAGATCAACTCTGCACTAAGCATTCTTTGAGTAATGATAAAACTGGGGTATTGAAAGGCGGTCCCTTTTCCTTCGCTTGAAGTTACCATAACACTGCATTGTGAATTGTTGTCTATCGAAATGGCGATTCATAATATCAGTAGCTACCTTATTGGTTGACGATGCTCCTTACTTCGTGTATGGAATGGTATCGACATGTTGAATGGACATCGCATAACGGCATATGTACGTATGAACATTTACATTGAAGTGATTGCACTATAAAAAGGGACAACAAAGATGGAAAACAAGCGAGTGGAAAAACACGATCTATATCTTGTGGTTTGTAAGTTGAGTAGATATAAGTGTTAAAATTAACTTGTATGAGTAACTGCATGAGATAGTTAAAAAGGATCCTGATGGTCTATCTTTATAATTTGAAACTTAACCATGAAAAACACCCAACTTAAAAAAGTGTCAATAAAAGATGTCACTTGCTGTGAGAAAATAGCTGGCTTTCACTCGCTACTTTTTAGTAATTTTATTTAACGTTTATTAATAAAATTGCAATGATGCAAGTAGGGTTTATTGAATTACTGAGATAAAAATTTTACAATTAATTTCAACGATACAACGTAAAAACTACGCGGTGAAAAAAAAGGAAGAGACCGACCAAGTCACCTGGATCAAACTGACCAGGACAACCCTAGGAAATCAGGACAACCCTAGGAAATCAGGTATTAAAGTTTTGTTCTTTTCAATATAATTAATTTCTGTTTTTGTTCCTTCATTATGCTGACATTTATAACGTGTTTTTTATAGAGTAGCTATGTCTTTAGGCCTTCTAACTGGACAATGAATGAACGACGAAGTCGGGCAGAAACACCAAGAAACAAGCGTCGTTATTATAAGATTCACACTTGCTAATTTATTTATCCATAATGTCTATCAGTATAACGCAATTTCAAATTTGACCGTTAAAAATTTCCGTATAACTAAATGTTCACAATTGTTAAATTTTCTGACAAAACACACGAGTGAAAGCCAGCTATTAATTAATGAGGCAAGATAGAAAGTTTTAACGGAATAAAGTGTAGCAGACATCAAAAATTATTTTTATGCAAGTCATAACATCTCTTTAGTCGTTTCATTTTTAATTGTTATTTACAGGTGAATGGTCAGGTCCCTACGTACTGAATAATTTTTATACATGATTTATATATGGCTGCTATTAGTTTTCGTTTTTCGTCTATTGATTACAATTTTTTGTTAACACTCTGCACTATTTCATTTTTTGTGCTCTACAAATGTTTGCGTTTCTTTTGTACGAACAAAAAATATTTGCTTTGTCAATAGGGTAGTCAGCCCACATTTTTATTGCTCCGTAAATTTAAATTTTTTATACGACTGTATAAGACGCACGATCTGACTACGCTGCATGTTAAAGTAGATCATCGGGATCATTGAAAACAACAAAAATATAAAACATCATAAAACACTACAAAATATTGATGCATTTCTGGAAAATTTTTAATTTTTTCTTTTATTGGAGGGTTTTTTACCTGATCCGCCGGTTTTCCCTCCCATTTCGTTTTGGTTTGGAAAAAAAACAGTGTCCACATTTGGGGCCAAGTGAAGCCATTTGTCATAACATTATTTATCGTAGTTATCATGAATATTCACGTTTCTTTTCATTTCTTGGCTTTTGGGTACATCTCCCAAAACACTGCGTTTATTAAATACAATGGCATACATTTAAAAAAATTGGCACGCAATTCATACATGTTGGTAGCCTGCAATTATTTAGCTACTGAATGAAGTAGATTTAATCAACATAGTCAAAATAAAATTATATATTTAATATTATTTTACGTCAAATTTTTTCAAGATTTGGAAATGCCATTTAGTTTTATGATCAAGTAATTTTTTAACCCTGGAATCCAATGTTCTACACAGTAAAAATAGATTAGTGAAAATGACCAAAAAATTGGTCATTTGAATGCACCTGAGAAGAACAATTTTTATAGGTCAAAACAACGAATTCCTAAATTGGTCAAAAATAAAAAAATGGTTAAATTTACCAATTTATTTGACCAATTTTATTTGGTTGTTTTACCATTAAATAAGCATTTTTTCAGGTGCATATCCATGACCATTTGACCAATATAGAGGATCTTTTAACTAAGCTAAAGAAAATCAATCACACAATTATAAATAGCACATTTTTTGCAAACACAGAATACTTAAAATCTCTACTACATGCCATTAATTAACACTACAAAAGTTTTCTACTTCATAGAAGAAATAAAATGATCGACAAAAGTTGGCAATTGAGCCTTACAATTGCATTTTGAATTTAAAAGCAAATGTTCTAAAAGAATAAATACATTTTTGCAATGTCCATTAACGCCTTTAGGATACTCAGCATTAAAAGTATAAAAAGAACTAAGTAAAATAATAACTGCATTGACAATATTTTCCGTTTTCAGCTTTGCCACAATCATCCCCTCAGCCACCAACATTATTGAATGAATGTTTCTTAATGTTCCTGTTGATAGGAGTCTAGGAGACGAACTTTTGTTAATGATCTCTTGAACTTCCCCCAAGCTTTTACCCTTCAACAGAGATAAAATTATTTATCAATTTTTTCACACATTTATGCAGAAAATATTATTTGTGACAATATCAACTCTTACATCAACAATGTCCCAAAATAGCTTTTTGTTCATATCTCGATGGGTGCATTGGTCATCTAACACATAAGGCAAACATGCCATTATACACCAGTTCTTGACCTCTAAAATAATCAACATAGCATAGAATGAATATATTACCATTATCACTCTCTAAAGCATTAACACTTCAGTATAAATAGGGATTTTAACTTATTGATTTTTACACCAACCTTTCTCATCTTCAACTGGACAATCCTCCAGCTCTTCAAGGATACTGCTGACATTCTTTTGCTTTGTCTTTTTAATAACAGACAGCATTTTATATTTGTGCAAATTCCATCGTTCCTTCATGTCTTGCACAACATCACTCTTCTCCAAAATACGTCCTAACTCTGCTTTCAGCTGGAAAAAATTAAACCAAAAAACTAATTATCTTTCTCTAAGTAATTGTGATTCAACAGACAGTTTTGCTACAGCATACATACTCATGGACAGCGGCAGATTAATAATTGGCAAAAAACTCATATTCATAAATTCATATGCTACATACAATCTGTTGAATTAAAATTGCTTGTAGTACTAGAATCTAGTAAAGTATACCATGCACATATGAATATTACCCTCTCATCAGGCTAACATGCCTTATACTTCAACCCATACTTAAACCATTTTATGTAGAAAACCTGTAAGGCTTCAATTTACCTTTTGAGTAACGTCATTCCAAATACACGTAAACTTTTTGTGAAATTTTATTCGAGAAATCATCTGATAAATATCATGTGGTTCTAAATTGAAAAAATCCTCGCCGTCGACTTGATTAGCTTTAAAAATATAAGAAGCAAAACGTCAATGAAATTACGTTATTGCTGGTATTCTCTAAAAGCGCTCGACCAAATCTGCCTGCTAGTAAAACGTAAACAAGGCAAGTCATCTATAAATCTAATTTTGAATTATTTTCTACACTAGATTTATGCACGAGACAACAACCCTCATACATGCGACCTACATTTCAGGATGAGACAATACCTTTAAAATCTTCGACAATTTCATCGAATTTGTTGTTTTTCAGAAAAAGAATAATGCCAACGACAGATGATCGTTTGTTGATTTCCATTTTGACCACAATACAAGAGTTTAAACGCTTAAATGCACTTCAACAAAGCACAAGAAGTTTAGAAACAAGCCACGCGACTACATACATCGGCAACAGGAAGTCAGGCACGTGCCGCTTTGCGTAATGGGATGTCATGTGACCAAATCGACCAATCGCCGCAAGTTCGCAACTAATTGGACAAAGAAATGCACTTAATGACACTTAATATTGATCTGATTTTACTCATTCATTGCTCTAACAAACGGTAACGGAGTTGTCACTTGACTAGAGACGCAAGAATATTCGTAAAAATCAATTAATTATGCCACGATTGTGTTGTCAGGTATGTGCAACGTTTTTTTCAACGTCTGTCGCTGGAATGTTGCATCATTTGGTCGCTGTTCATGAACACGATGCCAGATTGCATATTCTCTGCGAAGTGCCGGAATGTAATTCAACCTTCGCTAAGGTAAGCTTTTGATTCTTGATACGACACTGATTTGTTTGTTATTTGTTAAAAATATTTACTTATTCAGTGCGTTCACGGATTTGTTGTTTAGGTTAACTCTTACAAAAGTCATCTTAGAAGAAAGCACGCCAATGTTGACTTAAACTCACGTCATCTATGTTGCGTTGAATCAGCGAGTAGCACTCACAACAATTTTTGTCCTGATGAGGATGGCCTTGAACTCTTAATTGATGAATTCAACAGTGAAAATGAACTTGATGACTCTGTTCAAGCAATGGAACACAAAAAGGCTCAATTTCTTCTAAAACAAAACAAATCAATCTGCTCACACAAAAATGTGTGGATAACATTGTAGAAGATTCCACTGAACTTGTCCAAGGAACAGTCAAAGCAATTAAACACGGTTTGCAAAATTGCGTAGAGAAAGCTGGATTAAATTATGATGATGTGCCAGGTCTTGATGAATTATTTGATGAAGGACATGCTATCTCAAATCCATTCAAACATATTTCCACAAAGTATAAACAGAAAGCTTATTTTGAGGAGCATTTTGGCTTAGTTGTAAGTTTTATTTCTATGTTTTTTGACTTTTTTTAGAATGTTTAGAGTTTTTGGATAAAGTTTTTTGAGATTTTTAACATATTTGAGCCAGCTGCTCTTTAGTGCTTGTTATGCATAATCATTATTTTAATTGTAGCAACCCAGAGGAATTAAACTTGGACACAGAGTTGTGAAAAGACGTTCAAGGACTGTGTACAAAGAGGTTATTAAAGATGACGAAATCATGTACATACCACTGCTTAAATCCTTGGAAAAATGCTCAATGTAAAAGGAGTACTTGAACAGGTCAGATTGTTAATAGCATGGTTGTGTTTTTTATGTTGGCAAGTTTATCAAACTATGACAACTACATCTTTGCAAGTACCCATATCAATAACAGGGTTGCAAAATATTAATACATGTTCTATGTATAACCATAAAAGGAACTTTATGTGTGTTTTACTGTGTTAGTTTCCATGAAAGCAAAACAATGATGACATCGTTTATTAGAGCACATTTCAAAAATATATTCCAATTATTTCATGAAAATATGAAAATAGCCTGATTTTAATTTGAAATGTCTGATGGTAGAAGGCACCCATCCTACCATCAGACATTTCCATTGCTGGTTAATAATAAATTTAATTTATTAATAAATTTAATATTTTCATTCTTTGATTTCAATTTCAGCTAAACCATGGTCATCTTCGGCAACATAAACATGATGATGTGATTGAGGATGTTTGCGATGGCCAGTATTTCAAAACCCATCCTCTGTTTTCCAAGGACTCAACTGCTTTACAAATCATGCTTTACTATGATGAGTTGGAAATTGCAAATGCCCTTGGTAGTAAAACTGGAAAGCATAAGTTAGGTAATAGTTTAATGACATCATAGTGACTAAATCAGTCACTCAAATGTAAAAAAGTGTATGAGCAATGAAAGGCTATAAGAAGCTCTTATTACATCATATGCCATTATTTCTGTATGACAGGAGTTGTTTACTACACAACTGGAAATATTGATCCTCGATATCGATCCCAGTGTGATAACATTCACCTACTCCTTATGGCAACAGTTCCAATTATCAAAAAATATAGCATTGACATTCTCTTGGAGCCTTTCATGAATGGCCTTGAATACCTTGAACAAGTAAGTGATCCTATTTATTGTTTTTTAGCTTATTACCTGTTATTGATAATTGTGCAGAGTAAGTAGTTTTTTAAAACTTGCTTAAAATTAACTGTCACACTTCTTTTTTGAGGATGGTGGTCACCAGTTCATTGTTAAAGGTGAACCTATGTCATTTTCTGGGACTATTGTGTTGGTTTCTGGAGACAATCTTGGATCACAACTCATGGGTGGATTCAAAAAACGTCCAGGTGCACATTTGAAATGCCGGCAATGCATGGGGACCACTGAACAAATAAAGCAGAAGGTATGTATGTTTATGATAATACATTATTAACCTGTTTCAACATAGATCAAATGTTTTATTATGGTTTTAGCTGACCAGGAACATACACTTTAAAGTAAGTCTTTCAGTTTTTAGAAAAACATTTTACACTTCAAACTCGTGCTGGTCATGACTGCCAATGTGAACTGATTGAAGAAAACCCAGAACTGAGTAAAGCATATGGGCTTTGCAGGAGATCAATTCTTTGCAACTCTAGGTATTTTCATGTAGCAGATGGCATGCCAGGTGATGCAATGCATGATATACTAGAATGAGTACTTCAGTATGTATGTAAAGAATTGCTGAAGGACTTCATATTTAAAGAAAAATTTTTAACAGTGGAGCAACTTAATGAAAGACTTAACTCTTTTGATTATGGATATTTTAATGATAAAAACAAGCCATCACCAATCTCCTGGACAACTTTGAGGAGTGAAAACATTAGTTTAAAGCAAAAAGGTAGGGTGTAGTGATTGTCACGAGCATTAATACCATCACCCTTGATTTGAATGATTGGTTTTTCTTTTTATAGCAAGACAAATGTGGTGCCTTGGAAAATTCCTTCCTTTAGCTCTCGGCAGTGCCATTCCTCAGGATGAAGAAAAGTGGAGGCATTTTCTGTTGCTCCTTAAAATTGTTGACATTGTTTTTTCACCAATCACAAACACTGATGAACTTGCTATGCTGGAAGGATACCTGAAGGAATTTTTGTGGAAATTTACCCAGCTTTTTCCTGGGCTTTCAGTTATACCCAAGATGAATTACTTGGTTCATTACCCAGCTCATATTTACAGGTATGATTTTGCTGGTTTGTATCTTAGTTTATAGATAAAAATATGATATGTAACTCAAAATGCATGTAAAAGTTACATCATTGGTTTCCCTCTAGCTAACATGAGTCCTTCATTTTTCAGATTTGGACCAATGATTCGGAGCTGGTGCATGCGATATGAAGCAAAGCACAGTTACTTTAAAAGATTCGCTTCATACCTTGGAAACTTCACTAATGTTGCACTTAGCCTTGCTGAACGACATCAAACCAGAAGTTGCTATCTAGGAAATCAACACATTACAAAAAAGCCTAAAATTGGTAGGATTTTTTTTGAATAGATTGATTTTAATTCTAAAAACAAAGAGGTCAATTTTTAGTAACCTCTCTAGTAAGATAATAAATTGATGTTTGTTTGTTTGGTTCTCTTTAGATTCTGCAAAAGAAATTGTTGCTAAGGATAGTGAACATTATTATTTGCTCAAAGAGAAAGAACCTAACTTAAGTGACATTAGTATTTTGTCAAGGTAAAGTACACATAGTGATTATTTTTATTACAGAAGATGGTGACTATTGCGAGAAAAAATTGCTAGTACTTTATAAAATGAAACCATGGCTGTAATCTGACTCTTAGACAATTTTAGATCCAACCCAGATCATGTGGGTTATGCGCTTAATTTGCGTCTTAGTAAGCATAAGCAAGTCAAGGCCGTCAAGTGCATTTTTGGTAAGTCGTATAGTCACTCCGGTTCCGTCTCTGACTGCCTTTGCCAGGTTATTTTTCTGAGCCGTTGAACGTGCAACGCCGTGAACTGTGTAGTTATTACGTCCACCACCTTTAGCAGCTGCACCACCTTTCTTAACTACACCACTACCAGCAACTGCTTTGCGTGCTGCCGGTGATAGCACCTGATATAGCTGCTAGGCCTAGAGACGGTAACACTTTTGGTATGAGTTTAGTGACCGTAGGTATGAGTTTTCCAATAAGATTTCCAATAAAGCTACCGCCTTCTATACTTCTTGACCCAGGAAGATAAATACCAGCGCCTTTAAATTCCTAAGTGATTACTCGCTCCATGGCGGGTCTGAGCTTCAACAAATATTGCGTTATTAATGTCCTACATTTTGTGCACATGCAAAACAATTTGCTTATATAAACAGTCGAAAAAATTTTTGTTTTTTTAATCTTATAAATTATTTTTAAATAATAACACATCACATCAGACAAACAGTCTAAACGATTATGTCCATTTTACCGTTTATCCCATTAAGTCGAATACATCGTTCGTTAAACACCAAGCAGAACATGTTATACGCATTGCTGCCACCAGCATTAATCGCGCTACGAAAAGCTTGCTTCAAGGTCCAACGAATTCTAATGTTTGCCTCTTTTTTTCTCAAAACATCGGCATGATGACTTACATCGAAATGGTAAATAGGAAACAGGTTTGCAAAGTCTCCTAAGCTTACTTGAGAGCCTGTATCTGGATCGCTGTACTTCATTGCAGCGTCTTGAAACATCATGTAGGCTTTGCTGTAATTGCTGTTAGCAGCTGTGTAATTAACATCAAGCTCTTTTTCAGGATACTTTTGAGTGTTATTGATCTCAACATAAATTTGACTTAAATTAGCATGGTCAAAGACATAAATAGTTTGTTCTTGATTGTTAAAGCGTTCAGCGTCTTGGAAAGCCCCAAAGATGTAAGTTGGTAGCTCTTCACTAGTGTTTGTTGTTACAAACCACGATCCAATCGTCTGATTAGGGCCAAATTGTTTTTGGTAAATACGACTTTGCTTGCAATACAGCATGCGTGTGTATCCAGCAACCAACTTGCTTTCTATCATAGTCTGCACTTCGATTGAAGGCCTGATGAAAGGCCCAAAGAGAAAGATGAATATGAGAAAGGCATATTTTAAGGTCAACTCAAACTTTCAATGCGTTATTTAAATCTCTACCTTCCTACATACACGAAGAATATTTGCCGAAAGCGAAAGATATCTTTGACTTTTTCGATAACATGTTCAGGTAAATGTGATTTTTGATATTCGTGTTAGGAGAGAACTCTCTCTTTGATTGAAGTGTGAAATGTAAACGACATTAATATCTTTATGCAAAATGTGTGACCTAAATATACGTCTTCTTATAAAGTTTCGTTTTTGTTAATGTTAATTCTTTGCTTTATTTTAGACATGAACATTTTGCTGTTAATGCGATCGAGAAACATAGAACAAATGTTTGTGGTTTTAATTCACCATGATGGAGGACTTATATAAATAAAGAAATTGATTATTGACCACGATGAAAACGTATTTGGCTTTTGTTCACCATTCCATTGAGGCTGAGCTATTTACGAATTGATATTCTACTTCGTCTGAACTGCTTTATAACTGAAGGAATATGAAGATGGTAAGTATCTTTTTCCTCCTTCATCGTTTTTCACAGTAATTTTACAAGACGTATATATATTGTGAGTCCACCAGGCCGTTTACATGGCAAGCTATGAATGGTAAATCAAAAGATTTTGTTCTTTAGGGACGTTTCAATCTCCAGTGTCTCCAAGTCAAATGCAGTTTATTGGCCTTTGGCTGTTTTAAAACGTTTTCCTGAACATTTTTCTTTCTTAGATCACGATTCTTGTCTCGACAATTGATGGAAAGACAAGTCACTTTTAACCAACGATTTACGATGGTAAGATTTTTACAGCAACAAAATAAACTCATGAGAAAGTTATGTTTGTCTCAGGTGTTTAACTTAGCTATTGTAACTTTACACAATTTCATTTTTTTACAGATGAATAAAATTACGCCAACTTGATTAGTACAATCTAGTACAACTTGATTAACAGCGGGTAAAACAGTGCTTTATGCTTTTATTTCTTCCAAATGCTTCACAATGTAGTTAAACACCTCGATCATTTTCAGCGTAGTGAGCGTACACTTGATCTTTGCAAATTTTTTGTAATCAAAATATCTTACAATATGTCTCAAAAGAACTGGTCATCTTTGAATTCAGCCGATAGTTTGAAATTTTTATGATTCAGCGGCAATGATTGATCTCCACGCTAGGAGATATAAATGTAATTAAAGTAAGTTTCTTTATATTACCTTTTTTTGAAACACCCTGTATCAAGAACTTAGATCTCAGACCGTGGGGGTTCCCTTTGGATAAATGAACTTAAATGTATATTTTATTAAATACGTGTATAATTTACGGAATATAAAAAAATAAGAATCAAAGGAAGAAATCAGAATTCAGTCCTTTAATAACACCATGACAACTCGTAGTGTATAGCAAGTCTACCAGTGCTATGAAAATAAATATTTTGTTGTTCAATTACTTTTTCGTTACTCACTACATTACATATGAGATGACAACAGTAAATATGGGCCAGACACACATAATTAGAGTAAAAGCCCCATTTTTCTTGGCTACATCACTACCTAAAACATACATAAAGATAAATTACATTGTCAAGTGGTCACCAATGCCAGCTCTATCAAAACTCTTGTCAACAAAGGATTTTTATTGTGTTGAGTCTTTATAGAAAGGAATGGATTTGTGACTCCATTCAAGGAGCAAGATTCTTTGTTAGCCCTGGCTTTAGGGTATGTTTTCTTTCTCCTTTAGCTGACCAGCAACAGTTGTATTTTCAATTTCTGTAGGCAAAGGTTTAAATGGAGTGTTTGTTTGGTTCTTTTTGTTGTTTAATAAGAAAAATCTTAACATGTACATTATTTACATGAAAAATTTATAGTGCTTAGTAAGTTTTCTAAAAAGCCCAAACACTGGCTTTGCTGTGTAAATATACAGATTTCTGTTCACTGCGATAAATGGTAACATCTAATTTGTATTTAAAAGAATTGTGTGTGGAGAGAAGGTCAATAGTTTAGTTACTTAATTCAACATTTCGTTCTACTTTCGGTTGGGGATTTACACCTTAATTGTTGTGACAATGTTCTTTTTTCGCTTTAATTTAAATGTAGAAAATCTCATTTTTAATTTATGTTTGATTTTCTTGGGATCAGACATAACCACAACATTTTGTATTGTGATTTTGTGGTAAAATCATTTATGTAGCTGGGAGAATCAGTTTAAAAGCAATGTAAAGTATAAACTATATTAAAAGCAAGACATGAATGTCATAGCAATTAAAATGACTTATTACTGTCCATATCAGTAGTAAAGACACCAGTAGAAATGACTCATTTACTGTTCTTATCAGTTGTAAAGACATTTGCCAAAAATGTCAGGTCATGTCATTCACTCCTGAACATGGATACATACTTTAAAGGAGGGTGTTGCCCTAGAAATATATTCCTAATATAAACTTTTTATAGTTTGTAAACAATTTCTCTAATGTTCAAATAATGTTTTGTAAAAAAATAAGAAGTTCCTTGCAAAATGAAATACTAACTGTTACACACAATGACAGAGCTCTTCAAGATGCCCTGGGAATAAATGGCAAAGCAGACTCTTTATTTTGAGTAGGAGGCACATATTCATAAATTCATATTCTGCCACATTAAGTTCCTTTGAAATCCATTGTTTTCAATGGATTAAGACCTGCATTTATGAATTTGTGCCCCAATTAACAAGTATCCTGCGCAACTGCTGGGATTTTTTATATATTAGTAAATCTGGTAGTCTAAAATCTGGTAGTCAGACACTTAAATGTGTCATTTTCACTTCTGTCAATGCTATGGCAATGATATCCTGCTTTTTCTTCTTCAGGTTATTTATAACTTTTACTTTACATTGCCTTCGTAGTTTGAACTATAATAAAGTATTATTGAATCAATCATTAAATAAATATTTCCTCCAAAGTAAAAAAAAACAAACATAGTCATGACAATTAAGATGTTAGTCCCCAAATCAAGTATGATTGAATCAAATAACAATAACTGCATGTCCATTTCAAACAACTACAATTCTCATAAATAGAAAGTATATTTTGTAAATTATATGAATGAATAGAAATAAACATAGAAATTAGAAAAGACTGTATTCATGCTTATATAGCAAAGCAAATCTTGTGGGCTTTTCAGCATTTCAAAAAGGGATGTTACATGATCATGGTTGCTGTAAGATCAGTATTTACTCTCATTATACAAGAAAATGACCCAACAACATTCATTTTAAGGAACTTCACAACTTCTGAATAGCTAGATATTGCAAACTAAACTCATAAATATACTTTGATAGTTCCATACAAGTTTCTTAATAAAAACTGTTCCAGTAAATAAATAACAGTTGAAAACTTGAAAATGGAAATGTTTGAATATTGTCAATAATATATTTATACCTTTTATAAATATACAACTGTTGTTATTTGAACCTTTGTTAAAAGAAATCTACAATACAACTGTTTCTAATCAACTTTAGTATAAAGAAGAAATACCTAAAATGAAAAGAGAAATTGATTTTCTCCTTCATTAAAAATGACCTACAAATACATTTCCTCTTCTTCTATCTTCTTGTACATTTTCACAAAGACAGGAGTATTTTAGCTTCTAGAAAATAAAAGATAAGTAGATGTCCAAATCCTTCAGTTTCAATATCTATAGCTTGTTTATAACCAAATGAAGATTGAATGTTTTATGAATGTTTTAATTTAATTTCAAATGAAGATTGTTGTATATTATTGCAGTACATGTTTAGGTCCAAATGCTTTCGTTTCAATTTCTATCGCTCGTTCATAAAAATCTTTTGCTTTTTCGTACTCTCCCATTTGACTGTAAACCAAACCCAGATTGTTGTACGTTGTCGCAATATTAACATGGTCAGGTCCAAATGTTTTGTTTGAATTTGCTCGTTCATAAAAGTTTTGCTTTTTCGTACTCTCCCATATTACTGAAAACCGAACCCAGATTGTTGTACGTTTTCGCAATATTAACATGGTCAGGTCCAAATGTTTTCGTTTGAATTTTCATTGCTCGTTCATAAAAATCTTTTGCTTTTTCGTACTCTCCCATATTACTGAAAACCGAACCCAGATTGTTGTACGTTTTCGCAATATCAACATTGTCAGGTCCAAATGTTTTCGTTTGAATTTTCATGGCTCGTTCACAAAAAGTTTTTGCGTTTTCGTACTCGCCCACTTTATCGTAAACTGAACCCAGATTGTTGTACGTTTTCGCAATATTAACATTGTCAGGTCCAAATGTTTTTGTTTGAATTTCTATCGCTCGTTCATGAAAATCTTTTGCTTTTTCGTACTCTCCCATATCTCTGTAAACCGAACCTAGATTGACGTACGTTGCCGCAATATTTACATTGTCAGGTCCAAATGTTTTCGTTTGAATTTTCATTGCTCGTTCACAAAAATCTTTTGCTTTTTCGTACTCTCCCATATTACTGAAAACCGAACCCAGATTGTTGTACGTTTTCGCAATATTAACATGGTCAGGTCCAAATGTTTTCGTTTGAATTTTCATGGCTCGTTCACAAAAAGTTTTTGCTTTTTCGTACTCTCCCACTTTATCGTAAACCGAACCCAGATAGTTGTACGTTGCCGCATTATTAACATAGTCAGGTCCAAATGTTTTCGTTTCAATTTCTATCGCTCGTTCATAAAAATCTTTTGCTTTTTCGTACTCTCCCATATCTCTGTAAACCGAACCCAGATTGTTGTACGTTTTCGCAATATTAACATGGTCAGGTCCAAATGTTTTCGTTTGAATTTCATCGCTCGTTCATAAAAATCTTTTGCTTTTCGTACTCTCCCATATTACTGAAAACCGAACCCAGATTGTTGTACGTTTTCGCAATATTAACATGGTCAGGTCCAAATGTTTTCGTTTGAATTTTCATGGCTCGTTCACAAAAAGTTTTTGCTTTTTCGTACTCTCCCACTTTATCGTAAACCGAACCCAGATAGTTGTACGTTGCCGCATTATTAACATAGTCAGGTCCAAATGTTTTCGTTTAAATTTCTATCGCTCGTTCATAAAATCTTTTGCTTTTTCGTACTCTCCCATATCTCTGTAAACCGAACCCAGATTGTTGTACGTTGTCGCAATATTAACATGGTCAGGTCCAAATGTTTTCGTTTCAATTTCTATCGCTCGTTCATAAAAATCTTTTGCTTTTTCGTACTCTCCCATATCTCTGTAAACCGAACCCAGATTGTTGTACGTTGTCGCAATATTAACATGGTCAGGTCCAAATGTTTTCGTTTCAATTTCTATCGCTCGTTCATAAAATCTTTTGCTTTTTCGTACTCTCCCATATCTTTGTAAACCAAACCCAGATTGTTGTACGTTGTCGCAATATTAACATGGTCAGGTCCAAATGCTTTCGTTTTAATTTCTATCGCTCGTTCATAAAAATCTTTTGCTTTTTCGTACTCTCCCATATCTCTGTAAACCGAACCCAGATTGTTGTACGTTGCCGCAATATTAACATGGTCAGGTCCAAATGTTTTCGTGTCAATTTCTATCGCTCGTTCATAAAAATCTTTTGCTTTTTCGTACTCTCCCATATCTTTGTAAACCAAACCCATAATAATGTACGTTGCCGCAATATTAACATTGTCAGGTCCAAATGTTTTCGTTTGAATTTTCATTGCTCGTTCACAAAAACTTTTTGCTTTTTCGTACTCTCCCATATCTCTGTAAAACGAACCCAGATTGTTGTACATTGTCGCAATATTTACATGGTCAGGTCCAAATGTTTTCGTTTGAATTTCTATCGCTCGTTCATAAAATTCTTTTGCTTTTTCGTACTCTCCCATATCATCGTAAACCGAACCCAGATTGTTGTACGTTGTCGCAATATTAACATGGTCAGGTCCAAATGTTTTTGTTTGAATTTCTATCGCTTGTTCATAAAAATTTTTAGCATTTTCATATTCTCCATTCTTCCAAAGCAAGACGCCCAGCTCGTTGTACGAATATGAAACATCAATATGATCAACACCTAACACTTTAGTTTGAATTTCTGTTATTTCATAAAGTACTTTAGTTGCAAGTTTATAGTTGCAAAATCTTTTCAAAACATGTACAAAATAATTGGCAAATTTCCAATTTCTTTCATCAAGTTTTTGTTTTGATGATTTTATATCGATCAACTTATTTAGGAAATGTTGAAATGATGAATTTGTTATGAATTTAATTAGATGTGGAATTATTTTGATTTCATCTTCTCTGTCTTCAAAATGATTTAATGCCCAAGCAACTTGACAGGCAAGATCAGCTGCAGACTTTTTAGAATTATTTTCGTTTTGTTTACAGCAAAAGGTCTGCGATGAATAATTTATGATGGCTTCGTGTACAACGCTGTGCAGGCGGATGTCGTTGTTTTCCGTTTGAAGGAATAAAGAACAATGCTTTAATTGAAGACAGACATCTTCTGCAGATTTTTGTGGATCAATGCTTTTAATAAATGCTATTATAACATCTTGTGGCAAGGGATCGAAAGATATTATTGAGAAAAGTTTAAAAAGATGTTCCAACAAGATAGATTCTTCAGCATTTTTTGTACTGCTAACATAACAGTTTTCATTCCTAAGTAAGATGTGTTTATTTTTTTAAAATTACCATCCATGTTCTGTCGCTCTCCTTCATTCAGCTTATCAAAATATTTCTCCCAGGTGAATGTCGGATTTACACTTTTTACTCTACCTACGTAGGAAGCAGCATTTGCGAGAAACAAAGGTTGACGATCTAATTTGACTGATAAATTCTTTAAAAATTTTTCATCTTTATTATGAATATCAGAAAAGACAGATAAAAGTTCTCGACATTCTTCATTGTTCATACCATGACTAATTGAAATGTGTTTATTTAGATTTCCATCTGGTGGTATAGCATCTGTATTTTGCACAGTTACTATAATTTGTCCATTTTTCCAGGTATGATCACCAACTTGAGGTAATAATGGATAAATTTTATGAAGCTCAACCACGTTATCTACAATAATCCACCATGTTTGCCAAGATTTCAGTTGCTGTGTCAGCAATAATTGAAAATCTTTGATTTTGTCTTCGCTGCTTTTGGCTTCTTTTAAAATATTTTCAAGGAAAGTTTTATCATTGTGTAATCGTTGATAAAGTTCAGCATAAGTTTTCAAAAGAGAGTCGATATCTTTTCCTTCGAGTGTCATCACAAATGTCGTATTCTTTTCCCAGTCAAATGAGTTATACATTTCTTCACAAACTTGTCTAGCTAATTGAGATTTACCACTGCCAGGATTACCAGAAATATAGTAATATGTTAGTTCATTATTGTTAGTACTGCGCAAGTTATTGAGATCTGCTGTGATTTGATTAAGTATTTCTGTACGTTTAACCACATCGTGATTTGATTTGGAAGGAAGTACTTGAAAAGAATTAAATATGTTTCGTTCACTTTTTATTTTGATAATTTCAGTAAATGAAAATTCTAGATCTTGAAATGAGTTTTGAATATCACAAACCATTGTATGAAATTTCGAGTCAGAAACTTTTCCTTTATTTTCATGGATGAATTCGTTTCTTACATCACGAAGTTTGTCCACAGCAGATCTAACTTTATCATTAATGTTTGTTCCAATTGAGTGGGTAAACAATATTGCTTTACATATTGTCGTGCAATCCCACTTACTTGTGTCACCATCTTTAAGTTTTGACAATATTTTTTCATCACGAAATATTTTTTTGATCTTTCAATGTTGAACAACTTCTGACCACTGACGTTTGTATTTTCCCATTCTCCAAGAGATTGTTTGTAATGAGTGTTCCATTCTTGGATAAAAAGATCAACAAGTTTCTTTTCAACATCTGTAAGTACTTTCTGCAGAGAGGAGTTATTAATTTCTTCTCTTGACTGCATCTAAAGGACATAAAATTATTAATTTTATCATAAATTGGTTCTTTAATTGGATTTTATAGACAACTAAAATTGTAGAAGATCAAACATAGCTACTTAATGTTACAGTTTTACTTGTACGTGTAAATGAATATCGAGGATGGCAGATAAAAACAACGCAATTGGACATATTAGTTTTCCCCTTTTAGGCACTTGGCTACATTTTGGTAGGGTTGTCGCCGAGATTTTGCGAGTGGGGAGGAGGCACAAAATTTGTAACACGTTAGTCGCTGGCGAAGTGGCCTCGCCAATTAAAGTTTTGTGAATTCGTAAGAGCTACATTAATGCTATGTGCTTCTTTTTTAATTTGGAATGATGCATATGAAGCACTTGGGGGCACAGTCAATTTTTAGAGGGCACGTGCCCCCTTTCCAGGCCTCACTTTAGCAACGTCATTGCATGTGGAATGAAAATGGAGGTACTGAGTTATATTATAACTTAGGAAGGTGTTCAACAGTTTGCGAACTGACACACAAAGTACTCTAACTGGCTGACGCTTTTGCAGAGTTGGTTCAATGTCTGGACGACAGAAGTTTGTCTTATGAATGTTTTTATGCAGTGTGGTAATTGAAATTAAATGAAGATATGATCTTCGCATTTGCTGATTATTTAAGTTCTCAGGACTGAAACCAGGTGACTCAATCCCGTTGAGTCACCTGATTTTTTCAGGTCCTGAGACGATTGCTTAAATTGTCCAACAAAGTGCGAAGATCATATCTTCATTTAATTTAAGAAGTTTGTCTCTTGTGATTCGGGAGTAGAAAGACAATGGACGGAGAGGTTTAGAAATCCTCAGACATCACTATCAAGGCAGAGGAATACCTCGCATCATCGCTCTTTACACGGAACTCACTTCGCTGAAGAAAAATGACGACGAGACTGTCACAGATTATATATTGCGAGCAGAACGATCAAAAACAGCCTTAAGAGAAGCCGAGGAGATAATAAGTGATGCACTACTCATTGCAATGGTTTTAAAGGGTCTGCCAAGCACGTATGACGTCTTTGCTACCGTAACAGTTCAAAGGGAAAGACAAATGATATTTACGGAATTTAAAAACTCGTTATAAAGTCGTGAAGAAAATATCAAACCATTTTCACCAAAAACTGAGGTAGGTGACAACGTTATGTATGTGAAACCAACATTTGACGAAAATTGTTTCAAATGTGGAAGAAAGGGACACAAAAGCTCACAATGCCGAGTGAAGGGGAACAAATGGTGCTCCATATGCAAGACCAAGACCCACGACACGAAAGATTGCCGAAAGACGAAAGAAACGTCCAAGTCATCTAAAGACGGGCAGCGCTGTGACAGTGAACGGCAACACTTCTTTTTATTCGTGTCAAAGGATGAGGAAGAGAACGCTGAAGCAGACGTGAAGGATAAGGATCAAGCGAATTTAACTCTACTGGTGGACACAGGAGCTACAAGCCACATTATTAACGATAAGTCAAAATTTATAGATTTTGATAGTAAATTTGATAGTAAAGCGCATGTTACTGAATGAGCAGATGGCAGTAAAGCCAACGAGTAGTCGGTAAAGGTACTGCTAAAGTTAAATTATTTGACTTGCATGGAAATGCGCAGGATGTCTTATTAAGTAATGCCTTATATGTTCCATCTTACGATCAAAATATATTCTCAGTAAATGCTGCTGTAGAAAAGAAGGCAAAAGTGAAATTAGATAAACACAATAAGCATGTACAGTGCCCTGATAGAACAACGTTTGGAATAAGACAAAAAGGCAAACTTTACTATATAAATAGCATATCATCTTAGAATAAAAGTGCTTGTTCTCTTTACGAGTGGCACAAGGTTCTAGGTC